GGAAGTGCCTCTAGCTCCTGCACAGCACTGCCAGAGCCACTTACCAGGACAACAAATCAGCCAAGAGCCTTGAAAGTGCTAAGAGGGCCATGGCAGGTTGGCTGCATGCGCGTACCTGTGCTGGCCTGGCACACACAACTGCTTGCACAAAGTGAAAGAGACCCTCTCTAGTCCTGAGTGGCACTCGCGGGTGCTGCCCTTCACCCACCTCTTGCTGGCAAACCCAAGTAAGGTTTTCCACTCTTGACGGGTAAAAGCAGAAAAGCAGGAGACTCCCCAAGAACACTGTTTTTCTTCCCAGAAGACTTAAAGGCAGATCCCTAAGTCCTCTGAGTGAATCTGAGAGGAAATGGCAGCCAGGGCCAAGAAACAGTTTGGCTGCTGATCACAACTCCATGGCTGTCCTCTGAATAGATACTGGTGCATAATTAAGCAATGTTAACCACTTTGTGTCTAAGGTCTAGCTCCTCCATGGCCAGGCTTACCACAGGTACCACCAGGGCAGGTGTAGTGCAGAGGGCACTACATGCCTAGGAGAGGAAACAGCTGACACGGCCCAGGCAGCCCCTGAAGAGCCGAGGTCACTGGTCATTACACTCTTCTTGTGCAGAGGATGTCCTCACCAATCTTATCTGCAGGATTCCTCCTTCAGCAGCTAATAACATGCCAGACTGTTGAGATTCCAGCTCTGCCCAGCTAAACAAGCAGGCTCTGAAACGCTACACCTTTCTATAAATAAATCCAGCAGGCATAAATGACTCTACTATATTTAATCACTGAAAACACAAGGTGAGAGAAAAGAGACTCAAAAGTGAGGGTTATGATTTACAAATCACCTCCTGAAAAGTCTCAGAAACTCAGGAGGCAATGGCACAGACATCACATAGACTGGATAATTCCAGGTCTGAGCCTGCAAGGACCGTCACTGTGTTTGCGACACGTCGGTGCAGCCAGTCTCCTGCAGAATCAGGCTTTTCCTGACCTACCTTCATATCAGTCAGCCTCACTCTAAAATAAATGCAAGGCAGCTGACGTTCATGCTGCCTCATCCTGCATATTCCCAGCTGCTGCAGCCCATTCCAGCAAAGGAATTAGCCACTTTGTTCTTGCTTCCCTCCTGTATAGATTTGAGCAGGTCATGCAGCCGTGGAGACAAGCTGAGCTTGCCCCAAGGCTCAGCAGCCGTGACCAGAAATGCTGCTGTTTCTAAGGAGTCAGGTATTAAGGTTTGGCATCATTCCCACAGAATACAGAAATAAAAACCTAAATAATTCATCGCAAAACCATAGTGCCATTTAATCTATTTTTAACCCCAGCCTAACCTAATCTGAAAGACGGAGATGAATCTAGCAATCCCCGGGCAGGTGAAGAGTCAGATACATGTCTATCAGACATTACAAAATCCTGGCTTTATAAATAAACATAAGCATCTGCATTAAAATCATAAGCCATAGCAAGCTGTCACTATATGCAAAGTATCTTACATTAATCTTAATCACAATACAGCAAGCAAATGTAGTCACAGCAGGATATTAAATGTACGGTGTTTCTTACCCCACCAGGTAAGCCAGGATGGAGAGCTGCACAATTCGGTAGAGAACCCCCACCTTCTTGTTCTTTGCAATGACGTATTTCTCCGTTTTGTAATCAAAAAGCGATAGAAATAAACCCTTCCAAGCCACCTGCCCCATTCTCCTGGCTCACTCTTCACTCCAGGCTGGAGCAGCAGCGTTTTCAGCTCGCATTAGCCACACGTGCTCTGCACAGAAACCTGAACCGCCAACCCCTTCAGCGCAGAGGGCCGAGATCTCCTCCTTCCTGTCAGCTGCCTCCAGCAGCGCTCTCAGGTTGGAAACCAACAGCTGTGGTAACGAGATAGTCCTGGCTGCTTTGCAGCTAATTCATCCTCTGGGGAAACCCTGGCCTCAGTTTTGCTCACATGCTTTTTTCTTTATCTCCATTCACAAAACATTTATAACAAAAGCCATGTTACAGCACTCACATCACAGAGCTATAGTATCTCACCATTGAAGCCTTTCATCCATTTATATTATGGTAAATCACGGTTTATATTTTAATTTCTTGTCTCCTGAGTTACTCAAAATATTTTCCTGCCTGCCAGATTTTCCCACTGCAAAACTAAATTTCAGAAACTAATAAATACATTCTGCGTATGGTTAAGGGAACGGTCACCATCACATCTCATCAAAACTCGCAGCAAGCACAGAGCCAGGTGCATTTAGATGCAGAACACAAGATCTGATGAAACACCAAGGGCAGAGGAACAGCTTTACCCCTCACTGAGTGAGGAGTTGTTTACCTGGACAGCAGCGCAAGACACGAGTCCTAGTCCAACCTAGGCATCTGCACGTGCAAGGAAATGAAATGATCACTACCTACATTGAGATGGATGACTAGACTGTCCCCTGGCTAAGGAGGGATCCTTACGAACTCTGAGCTATGCCTGGATCTTGCAGCAGCCTGGCTCCAACACCTCTGTCAGGAGTGGGTCCAGAGGAAGCTGGGGCTGGAGCATTTCCCGTTCGTAGACACTGATGGAGAAATCTCTCAGGGGCAGTTCAGGGATGGGGCTACACAAGGGACTGAATCTATCAGAGGACACCCAGCTGAAACACAAGGTGTTGTCCTGGGTATTAACAACATGGTTTGCTCTGTTCAGACACAAGCACCTGACTTATGCCTGAGCACTGCGTTGAGCATAAATGGTGGGTTTGGGCAGCACGGAGAACCTGTCGGGGAGGGAGGAGGTCATGAACTGCCCTGGACCTGTCACAGCAGGTCCAGCCAGCACTGAAACTGGTGGAAGAGTCACCAGGCACCAAAACTGCAGCTGGAAGAGCACCTGGCACCTCTGCATGGCCAGATTTTTTTATTTTTTTTTAAAAAAAAGGCAGCAGGCAGGTGGGAGGGAACATCCTTGAGGACATGGCTGGAGATGGGATCTTGGAAGAGGTGCTCCATGCCAGAGCACAGGCACACGTCAGAGTGCTGCAGCCACTGGGCACCCCACAACAGTGCAGGGAGAAGCACTAAGGGAGAAAAAGTAGTAAACAGCAGGAAGGAAAAGCATAAAGAAACTCTTAAGACACACAGCCCCAGCACTCTACATCACCCAGCACCTCACTGCAGGAACTGGGGCAGGTTGAGCGTTAACTCATGGCAGAAATACAGTAAACTGAAACTACGAAGGAAGAATAAGAAGTGTTTAACCTATTTTAAGCCTGGTGAAGGCAGGAGAAATGTGTTTACTTGCTTTTTTCTGAGTATTTTTGTTTTCTTCTTCTCAATAAATTAATCAGTGATGAGAAGTTTGTGTTAACTGATCGTAAATTAAATTAGGTACAAATTGCCCACTGTTTTGCCTACGATGGGAGTACATGAAGACAGGAGCCTGGGCTAGAGGGCACCTGGACCAGGGCATGCACGGTTGGCAACTGGAACATGCACATGAACACAGGTCAGAAGAGTGGGTCACAACCACCTTGTGAACACGCAGAACAAAACCATATTAATCCAGGCCGCAAGCAGTGCAGTGAGTGGTTATTCACTCCAGCACATGTAGCTGTTCCCTGTGGAAACTGTGGAATTCTGTTTCTAGAAGGAATCATTGCCCAGGACCACAGGTTCTGTAAAAATTTTATCCTTCATCCTCCTTAAATTCCATACGACAGATTGGTCTGATTTTTGAATGAGTGTGAAAGAGAAGCTTGCTTCAAATCATAAGATAATCACAAATAGAGTAACAAAGAACTGAACAATATCCTCAAATACCCCTCATTTTGTCTCTTATCTCATCACCATCCTTAGAGCTTCTGTCTACGAAGTGAAAGAAATTGCATGACCTTTCTTCAGCAATTCAGAACTAGAACAGAAACCTGCTGGTGCCCTCCCTTTAACGCTGAGGCTGCAGTGCTCGCTCCAGCCCTGCGCCATCCAACCGTTTCAGCACATGGACCTGTAACGAGGAGGTCCAAAGGACACGTGTGCAGCCCAGAGATGCCTGTCTGGGATCGAGCCCAGCTTACACCAACGTGATTGCAGCCTCTGAGCTCTGCTGGCATCGTGGTGTGAGAAGCCTCAAGAGGGCCCCAGGACCCCCGCTCTGGCACCCACCTGGCCATGCTGCCACCCCACTGCCGTCTGAGGGGCTGACACGTGAGAAGCCACCCTGGTCCCTCTAGCTTGGCGTTAACCCCGACCCAGCTCACAAGCTCTGCAGCTTGTGAGCCGCAGAGCAGGCAGAGGGCTGATCTTCTCCCACCCTCCCTGAGCCTCTTTTCTCTATCTGCACATCCCACACGGCAGCCTGTCTTTATCTGATACTGCCAATCTCACAAGATTTTTTTCTGCTCCCAAGCTCCCCCTAGAGCCTCTTTCTTACCCAAGCAACTGTAAAGTCCAAGACTTAAAACCGCCCCTTCCTCCAGCAGTATTAGCCCTTGGAATCCACCCCTCCTCACCTAGATGCCTACGCACTAGTGACCGTGTTATAGCTCCTCTATTTGTGCCTTAAGCACAAATAGAAACTTCCACATTTAATAACAAGAGAAAGTAACATTCTCTATGAAAGCACACACCAGTGCAGATCAAGTAGACCTTAATGGTCAATTTGACCAAAATGAGCAAGTATGAACTGCTGGCCCAGACTGTCTTCACCAGCCACTGCCCAGACCCCAGCAGCAAGCAGTGTGGTGCTGGGAGCACAGAGACCTGCCCAGCCCCACGGCTGCTCAGCTGGGCCGACAGCAGCATCCTAAAGGAGCCACCAGAGTTTTCCCCACTCAGTTTGCTCCTAGGAGAGAAATTTTTGCAAGCACAAGCTGCTGGATGAGAGCCAAATGTTGCCTACGATCAAGGGCCTGGTCCCACAGGAACACCATCCGCTCCCTCACCCTGCTGGAATTGCTCAAGGAACTATTCTAAAAAGCGTGTTGCTCCCTGGCCTGGTTTTGCTTAATGACACAGACCTAGGTCTGCTGTGAGTTTCTGCAATTGTTTTCCAGGGTAATTAATGTGATGAACAACTTGGGTTAGAAAAAAGTCTTCCTTAACATGGGAAGTGTTCCTGTTAAAAATTGACCTGCGGATGTCAGCGAGGTTAGAAGACTAATTTAAAAAAAAAAAAAAAAAAGTAGAACTGATACTTTTCTTGTTTTTTAAATGCACCAAGTAAAAGCATAGTTGCAATAACAGTTTTTAAATAAAATCCTTTCATTTCTATCAAATGTATGCCCAAATATCCTCAATGTTGACCTACACATGCAAGATTCATGCTGACCACAGTGCTGCCAGTGTGTTCTTGCAGGAACTCATCACCTTCCACTTTTTACAACCTCATTCTTTATTGTCTGGAAAGAAAGATTCCCTGGCGAGTTTCTTAAGGTGCCCATGGGTTATTCAAACATAAGCAATTTCATTCATGTGGGTATAAGGTAGGGCAAGTAAATAACCTAACAAAACTTAATAATCAGTTAAAAAAAAAAAGTTTAATTAGGCCTTCCCTAGGGACTATGAGGCTGGATCTCTTTCTGCAACATATCTCTTTTCTTGAGTGCAGCATTTTGAATTTCCCATGGAAAAAAAAACAGTTCTGTTCCTTTCCCATGAAGGCTATTTACTCAGTCTGGAAATTCTCACAGGCAGGATTTCTCCTTCAGTACTGAAACTCTTCATACCTTTTTTTCATTCCCAACACATTATACCTACAAAAAACTCCTCATACTGCTCACAATAACTACCTCTCAGTACTCACATGTAGCCACAGGATAGACAGCCCTTGTCTGCCCAGACTGCTACCCATCTTTGTCTCTCTCCATCTGTCAGTAGATCTCCAATATTAAGCTGCCTTGGACTTGAACTCAGTCCAGTTATGGTCCAGTAGAGGATTTGTAGAAAGGAAACTGTGGAAATGAAACTTCAGATCCTTTCTCTACACAGTGGCATTCTAAACACAGCCAGATCACATCTGGCTCTTCATAGCGTTTTAGGACATTTTAGGACATGTTCAGCCCAACAGCATTGCATAATGTTACCCAAAAGAGACATTTTCCAAAACAGCAGCGGACAACTCTGTCCAGGACAAAGAAGCTCCACAAGTGACAGCATCTTAGACACCTGTCTTGTTCATTCCTGGTTCCAAATGATCATCCTCCCAGGTGTTAGTTCCCTCAGTGATCCCCACTCAACCCTCTACTGTCACTTAAAGGCACAAGAGCTGATGTAGAAAATACTAAGACATTAAAGGCCTGGAAACAGTCCTGCAGCAAATGCCTGAGCAATGCAGACACACAATCCTTTACAGACAGGCGCCAGACCAGCTACTGAAATAGAAAGAAGGCAAGAAGCACAGGATGTAAGTAGGAGATAAAACTATCCTGGCAAGGAAGTAACCAGCGCAAAGGGCAGTGGTCAGCTATCCATTTTTTTTCTCCTCTCCTTCCTCAAAGCATCATACTTTTAGGTCAATATCTAATGAAAAAAACAAGCTGATGAGTTAACAGATGGGATAGAGGAAGTTGCACTTAGACCACAGAACAACATACACGCACATTGCACACATCGCTTTCCAGTGATGATGGGTTTAGTTGCAAAAGATGAAATCAGCCAGACCAGGATGTGCGGATTAATAACAAACCCTTAATCCCAGAGGCTTCTAGAAAGGCAATCCATGGAAATAATTTTTCTGTTGTTATCCACAGAAGCATCCAAATTTGTCTGTAGGAGTGAGAAACGAAAGTGTACCCAAGTTCCTGAATATGCTTTCTTTTTGGTTCAGCTCACCACCACCAGAAGAGCAATTTTCAGGCGTACCTTTCTGCATTGCTCCCTTGCTGCCTTACAGCAGAAATGCTCATTTATTACAGAATGAGGAGAGACACTCCAAAAATACGACTCAGTCCAACAGCTCTCAGCTTTCACCATGGCTCTATCATTTAAATAAACACCAGGTTGCTATCCCAGGTCTTGAATCTCCTTCACAGCGTGCAGGACATTCAGGAGGGTCTTGCTGTCATCACTAGCCAGAGCTTTACCCACTCCTCTCCCACAGCCCATGAATTGAAAGTGTTTGAGGAAAAGTACAAAAGAGAGGGAAGAAAAATCCAGCACATTTAATGAAATTGAGCCATCATGCCCTGTTTTGTGAGAGACTTGGCACTAAGTCAGATGAGAGAAGTGGAATACAAATGCACATAAAAACATCATTGGGAAAATGAGTGCAATAAGAGATGGAACAACAGCTTTATGCAGTGCTGTATTGCAATGTTTTCGCTTTCAGAAGTCTGCCAATAAAAGCATCAGTAGGGAAAAAGAGGGAAATGTTAAATCAAAGGCCTGAAAGCCAAACATTTTTAATAAAATGTGTGTTCACATTAAGTCATTAACTAATGACTTAAAAGGCAAAGATCCACTCTTGACAATGCTTGACAAATCACCTCCATTAGCACATTAATGCTTCCTTGCCAATATTCCTCAATCCTGGCCTGGAGGAATGCAGAACTGATCCCGTCTTGACAGCTCCACTAGTGGTTCCTGCCTTACTACGAGAACTGAGGAGACACCTTGATTCCCCTCTGCCAAAGACAAATTTCATCATGCAACGTGTAGAAACCGCAGACTGAGGCTTCTGCTCTTTCCTCCCCTGAAATTACCAAGTGTAACTCCGGTCACCTGCATAGGACACAGGGCTGGCCCACAAAGGAAAAGGTTTCATTAGCAAAATCCTTAATTGATCTGCTTTGCACATAAGCTTGCCTTAGCTGTGGAGGCTGCTGGTGTCCCGAGCCAGTCACATGTTACCATATTCAAGAGGTTTGTGTGTCCCAAGCATGCCCAGAGAAAAACGCTCTGAGCTCTGGAGCACAGGGGAGTATGGAGATGCTAGAGCCATTTTAGGCAAGCTGGCAGCATTAGGAGCAACCTGCTTGCAGCCCCACAGCTCATTCTGGCTCGTTTACCCCGTTATAATAAGAGACAGGAAATTTCTCTTTGGAGTTATAATCTCATTAGCCTGCAAATAAAACTTCCCCAGTAGGCTCTCCAGGCTGGCAGAGAACTTCATTGTTCTGATGTGCTGCTCTAGCATCAGCAACCAGCACTCAGCAAAGAACGGCTTTTCCAGACAAGCTTCCCTGTAAGGCAGAGATCCACTTTACTTACTCTTGCTAATCCGCAGGTCACCCGCACACATGCCCCCAGTTCAATGCACAAGCGGGTCTGCTTCTGAACGTGCCAGGGGAGCTACAACCCAAGGCCTGGGAATCTGCACAGCATAGAGGAAAGACATAAGCAGCTCTTATCCACTCCTGATTAAAAAAGCAACGCAAAACAAATTCTGTCCTCCTCTTCAGGGATACAATTAACAGCCTATCTCAGCTATATCATTTCTCATTCAGTCACCACCCACCACCTAATTTCCCACTCTTTGGCCAACTCACAACAAAAAAATAGCCATAATTCTGGCCAAGCTTGCCTGGAAGAAGCTAATATCTAAAACAGGAATGATCTGGAGCCAGGTGTGAACTCAGACTTCCAAAGGCTGCAGTGATGGGGTGGGTGGGGATAGTGCCCATTGAGGGGCAAAGAAAAAAAAAAGCATCTGTTCTTGCCCTCTTGGGCTCACTAGCAGCATTGAAAGTCACCTTTCCTTGGCACCTGGATCACAAACAGGCTGATAACATGGGACCCTGGCTGAAGTCAAGTATTTAAAGGCTCTGAATATGGATTTGCAAATCCCATGTCATTTAGGGAGGTGGCACATAATTGCCACTGTCAGAGTGCAGTGGAGTCAGAGCCATAAAGCAAGGCCATAAATGTTGACGAGGCTTTTGTACAGAAGATTTGATTTGAAATGCTGATTGGAAGTAAATTTAGAAGCAGAGAAAGCTTGGCTTTCATGGAAGCAACATTAAAAAAAAAATCAGCTGTGGTATGGATCATTGAAAATCTTGGCAGTTCTGACTATTCTCTTAAGTGCCATCCAATTACTGCAAATGTGTTTGGCATCCACCATAGCATTTGTGAAGAATTAAATGATCAGATGGCACCCATCAGAAATTACAAGTCATTGAATCCTATAATGCATTTAAGAAAAAAAAAATCTAAAAAGGAAAATGACACTGCAGGACCTGACCTCCTTGAGAGCCACAAGGGACATCAAAGAGGATCCAAGTAATCACAGATATTTAATTCAGAGAAGAAACTAGAAAAGAGAGAGTATAACAAGACTGACAGAAGGAGCTGGGCTTATACAGCCTTGAGAAAATCCTCCTTGCAACTCCTTAGTCTTAGCACAGACTTCTACAAATAACATTCCTTCTTTTAGGAAAGTAACCAAGAAACTGGCTACAGCTTTTCTGCTTTAGTTGCTCTTACTTTTCCCCTAAGTAGGCAAGTCAGTGCATGCAGCAACTTCTGTCTCTTCTTCAGTCAAATTTAAAGCTAAGACATACCCGTGGTTGCACCACCTGTAGAATGCATCATAAAGGTTACTGCCTTAAAGAAAATGTATTAATAGCTGTACAGCCAGGTGCTAAACAGGAATTTTGCATGGAAACTTTGATGCAGGTCACAATGCACTCGCTAACTTTAGTTAACTTCGGGCAATATCAATTAAGCCAAGAGAGACAGGGAACTGTTGTGGTTTCTGTATGTCTGAATGAAAGTCCCCAGTTACTCTACAGGTGTTTAAACACATCAGGTTTGTGAGCCAGGTACAACCAAAATAAAACAACTACACAATCAAGGACAGATAAAATCAAAGAGAGGAACATTACAAAATGAAAATACTTGTTCTTTTTTTTAAAAAAAAACATGGAGAATGGAGAGGGGTTTATTTTTTCAGAGATCATTTCCCTGCTCAGGAAAGAAAATAGCTAGTACTGGCTAAAACCACACAGTGCCACATGGTGCTGCTAGGCACCCTGCTCCCTGCAAGCTGCAATTACTGATAATCTGCAGCTGACAACCCAGAACTACTCACAATTCACTCTACTTGGTTTCACTGCCATCAGGGGGCAGTAGTAAAAGGCTCTGCTCTTAATTCAAACATGAGCTAATTTGGAACAGGTTTGCTAGTCATCACAGTTCGGGCAACTATTTAAGATGCAAGAGGAGTCTATCTGACTTGGTAATGAGATCCATGAAACATATTTTTATTTGTGACCAAATCAGGATTTGGAAACATCTCAAAATGGAAAGGCAAAAATGAGATAAGGTACAAAAACCTTACATACCCTCATCACCATGTGCACTTATGGTTCCAAGAATTAGATGCATCAGCAAATTTTATGCTGCATTAAAATACACAAATCTTTGTGTAAGTATATATAGTCACATAGATAGATACATATACACATACACACAAAAAGCTATTTTCATTAGCAATAGCAGAATATAAAGTATCTGCTATCCATTTCAATCTATTCAGAAGCTATTCAGTATTAAAATCAATTTAACAACCACTCAGCATCACAACAATCATGAGTGCAATCCAATAAACAAACCTCCCAGGCTCCAGGCTGATTTTCCCTAGTATATCTGCATTAAAGCAGAATCTATCCAGGGAGTCCAGCTGCCAAGGCAGCCCCTTTTCCACCAGCAGCCGATGCAAATTAAACAAGGAGGTAACTGGATTGCCCCACAGCGCAGGGCCCCCACAGGCAAAAGAGG